CTCAAGAGTGAAAGAGGTGGAGGGAATCCTAGTAAATTTATAGGTCATAATATGTTAGAAATAGAAATATCAATAAAATCTTCTAGTCCAATTTACAGATTGGTAAACTAAAGAATAGAGATATTAAGGATTTGTTTATCATCATATGGCTAGTTAAGTTAAACTTGGAACCAGAGCCTAGGTCTTCTGATTCTTTGTCAAGTAATCTGATGGAAACATAACACCAATTCCTAAATCACTCAAGCCTTGGACAAGTCAAATGATTCTACAGAATGGCTCTTAAGTAACCTGGTGTTCTATGTGCTTGATTGAGCATTGGCCTCCAGACCCCTAGTTATCAAAATTATTAAATCTGTGTGCATGTATGTGTGTGTATGTATGTATATATGCGTGAATGCGTGTAAGTGTGTGTGCATGTGCTTTGGATGAGCTTCTAAATATATCTTTATAGGTAAAAATCAAAAGTTAAATTCAACCACCGTCTTCCCAAGCAAACCAATGCCTTTGGAAAACCACCCTACTTAGCACTTATAGACCATACAGACAGCATCCTTTGGTCTTTAAGGCAAAGAGCATATACCAGGGTAGAAGAGCAGGTTCTCCAATTGAGGAGATAGCCAAATTATAAATAGATTATGGGATATCTCTTTCCTCCATACAAAATCAAATAATTGAGGCATGTACGTGATAAACTTCAAGGATTTTGTATTATATAAGCTATTTACACAACTTCTTCTGAGTTTTTTGGTTTTCCCCTCATATTTTGCAGCATTGTCTCAATAGTGAAACATCCATATATAATTCATGACATACCATTGGAGTATAAGCAGGTGATATTCAAAAATTATATATTACTGGGTTTAAAGGGAAACCCTATGCAGATTCTGGTTAAAATTGTCCAAAAACATTGTCATAATTAAGAAATAATAATTTGTGCAATTTAATACAATAATATGTATTTAAAAGATCATGATGCCTCACACATTTTTGTAAAAAGCTTTAACATGGGAGTGTTTTGATACTCCATGATCGGGGAAATTAAATCAAGATTGATGATCGGGGTTAGAGTTTAAAATCCTTATACAAAATTCTCATTTTTTGAAGAGGCTGTGTGCAGAAAGCATTTGATTTCTGAGCTCTGCTAACACTGAAACTGAGGTTCAAAAATGTTTGCATCTCACACAATTGGAAAGAAAATCAGACAGATGGTTGAAAAGACTTCTTTGCTTTTTCTCCATCTAGTGGCCAAATTCAGTGTTTGAAAGTAAGTGATGCCTGGAATACTATATATGAATCAGTAATTTATTAATTTGTTGATTGCAAGTTAACTGGAATTCTGCCTTTTAAAAATGTGAAAGCAGATAATATTCTCCTTTAATAGATCTATACTTTTAAGAGGAAAATGTAACTATTTTAAAAAGTGCTGAATCTAACCACTCCTCTCCTCCAAAAAGTAAAAGAAAAACTGACTTGAACAATGTTTTAATTCAAGTTGAGAGATATATTTTGCAAAATTAGTTCTACTTCAGATTAATACATATGGTAGAGCTCTTAGATCATTTTGTAGATTATTAAAATTCTTAGCTACCAGTCCCAATAACACAGAGAAATGGACAGTTTTCCTTTCTCTGACTCTGGGGGGACAAACGGAGCAGAGAAATAGCCTAATTTGGGGATATACAAGGAATAAAAGTCTTCTAAGTCCTTTACTTTAGAAAAATCTTGGAATTGTATGATTAACTGAATGGTGGCTGAAGATTTACATTTATTCCACATAAGTACAGCACAAAGGCTTCTCTGTCTTTTAATCATCACTTAGATGGAAGACAACAAGAATTTTATCATATTTGGAAGATGCATGTATTATCTCAACAGCAGCATTTATTTGTGAAACATGGGTATTTAGGGATTTTGGTTTCTTTGCACAAGTTTGAAAATGATAAAATTTAATGAGTTCCATTTGCTTCTCGAAAACTTAAATTCACTATAATGGAGCTGTGTTCCAAAAGTATGTTTACAATCATTTATCTAAACTTCAGAACGTATTTTCCTTTAAAAGCAACGTCATAAATGGAGCTTGTTTGTTCTTCTGTGTATCTGATGTGTAACAGGCGATGCTCTCCGTTTGATAAGATTAATCCTGAGATCTTTGTGAACCTACAGACCGCTAATCAATTCCAACTGCTTCAGGCACTTGCTGTTTTCTTCTCCTAAACTATGCCAAAGTTCTTCATGTGTAGAAATACTTTCAATTCTTCCAATTCCATCAGAGAGAAAACATTAAACTGTCCTCACACCCTTTCTTTAGTATTGTAAGATGTTGTTGCCAAGACTCGGTAACCACATAGAAGCAACGACAACCACATGTGGTTGGGTGAGTCCTGACCAGCAGCAGGGAACGAGCAGCCCAGAAAACTTGAAACTCTGGACCCTGAAGCAGTGTATAGGCTCTCCTATCCTTCTTCCTGTGCTTCAAGGAACATTTATTTTGCTGTTTCCATGTGGAAGTGTACATCAAATTCCCTTTCCAGAAAAATGAAATCAGATTGATACTGAGGGGACCAATACTTAGTGAAATTTCTAGATTTATAGCAGAAAAGTCCCTTTGTAAAGCTGCTTAAGAAAGGAAACTCTCTAGCAAAGACAAATCACTCCTTAGTTATTGTGAATAGAAGAGTAACCAGAAACTGACTGCTTTACTCTGCTCTTCCCTTTAACACACACACACACACACACACACACACACACACACACACACCTCCCTGAGTCTCAGACTTTTTGACTCCACCTACCTTTGACTTTCCACAGGTAGGTCACACAGTCTGGGTAGTACCTATGTGAGGTAGCTAGGACTTTAGGAAATTTTCCAAATATTCCTCCTGAATCCAGCAATGAAAAAACTTAGCCATCCCATTTTGTGGTGAAGGAGACCAAAGGTTCTTCTAACAGGCATGTATCAACTCTAGTGAATTCAGAAAATAGTTGGTTAGCACGGGCCCAGCCTATCAAACAGTGGAATGACCGGTAAAAAGCACTCTTTTGCTTTTACTTTCCTTTTCTAAGCTCTGCTATGGAATGAATATGAATGATCTGTGTTTCTCAAGAAAGGAAAAATGAGCTCTACTTACATCAGACACTTCTTTAAACATGGAAGCAAGGCCCTAGTATTTAGTCACTTAAGGTCGCTCACCTTGGAGAGCCTGTTCATTTGAGCTACTGCCCTGGCTCAGGGCCCCCGGCAGTTGTTTCCTTCTACCTAAACATTAGTGGACAGCTCCACCTGAGCAATACACAAGCTCGGAAGGACTGTCAATCCTCTCAGAGCCCTGGAGGCCACGGAATGGGTCACCGCAAGGGGGAGTGTGTTCTCATCATTGGAAGTCATAAGCATTGGCTGAAGACCAGGAATATTGTAATGGCAATTAAAGTATACGAGATTAGACTTGACTTTTTAAAATCTTTGTATGGTGAAAAGTTCACAAAGCATAAGTATATAATTAAGGAATTAGAAAGGGTGTACCCATGGAACCACTATCTAGATCAATAATAAAAATTCACCGGCACTCTAGATGTCCCCTTGATTTGTTTTTGTCATTCCACAGATATTAAATGTACATCTTCCTTATGCCAGATGCTGTGCTAATGCTCAAGTTAGAGAAGTGCATTAAAAGAGAGAGCCTTGGCCTTCAGGGAATTTGCCAGCTATCAACAGAGCATGTATTGAGGAATTACAGTGTGCCATGGACTCTGCCAGTGATTTTCCCTGAATAATTTTATTTTCTGAATTAGATGTTATTTTGGCCTTATCTTTGTTTTACAGATGAGGAAACTGAAACAATCTATGTCTTCTTCAACCCCAGGATTCCATTATTCTTTGATTAAAAACTTGAACCAAATAATCCCATAGAAGGAGGGAGAAGGGGGGTTGTAGAGATGTTCATGATATAGGAATTGAGAGTCCATTTTTCACTTTCTTTCTCAGGCCTCTATAAAACCAAAGTGTGGGCGTATGATCAGCTTCTCATCTGGAGGAGAGAACCCGCATGGGGTGAAGGCCGTCACCAAGGGCCAGAGGTGTGCTGTGGCTCTGTGGTTTACCTTGGACCCACTCTATAGAGAATTGGTGAGTGTCTCACCCATCCAGAATACCAATTAGACACCTCCCAGACCTGCTTATGAACTGATTTTTCTGAAAAGTCCTTTAAGTTGTTCCATAACCTTTCAGGGACCCTAGAGATCGTGAAAAAAAATCGTTACAGAATCCTTTCTCTCTGGTTTCCAACCCTGGCTCTATTTTCTAAGCAAGAACAAATTTTCCCAATCAGATCCATGACCTAGCAATTACACATCTAGAATTTGTAGTGCGAGTTTGCAAGAAAGAAGAGAGGCTGTGGAGGCAATTCTTAATTAGATGATTCTAATAAGTGAATATGTTTGCTGAAATAGATACCTCAGTGATATTTGGCAATCTTTAATTAGTCTTGAGCTTATTAACAAACTGTAGCATCAGGAGAAAGGAAACACTTTCTAGTGGTCATCAGGAAGACCGATTTGTTTTCTCAACATGTCATTGAAAAGAGCACTGAATAATTCATGAGACATATGTAGAAAAGGGCGAGAGAACCTGACAATTTATTGTTATTTGTTATTATTAAATTAAATATTAAGGGGCTGGCCTGGTGGCATAGGGGTTAAGTTCACGCGCTCTGCTTTGGTGGCCTGGAGTTTGCAGGTTTGGATCCCAGGCACAGACCTACACCGCTCATCAAGCCATGTTGTGGCAGCATCCCACATACCAAATAGAGGAAGACTGGCAGAGATGTTAGCTCAAGGCCAATCTTCCTCACCAGAAAAAAAAAATTAAAATATTATTATTATTGTATTGGAAATAGCTGAGGACACTTGGCCTGTGTAAGAGACCATGATCTCATCCTTCTGGATGCCTTTGGGCTGAAGTTATGGTCTCTATCTGTGGAGCTGCAGAGGGAGGAATGAAGACTAATGAGTAGAAGCCCCTGGGAGGAAAATTTGGTTTCAACATAAGGAATAACTTTCAAATCGTCACTGCAGTTTAGTAGAGTTGTCTGAGTGAGTTCCTTGTCACTGGATGGCTCTAATCAAAGCCTCGGTTGAAATTGACACAGAACCTTCATAGCAAGGGCTAAAATGGATGACTTAAAAGTCTCTTCCAGCCCCAAGTATAGATGAAACTATGAAATTCTAGTCTTTAAAAAATGACATTCTATCCAATTTTCCTCTTTAGATCCCTAAATTGAATCCAATTTCATCAGAAACTGTTTAAAATTAATTCCTCTTTCTCATAAACTTTTTGCCATCAAGCCTAACTCATGCAATTTTTAGGCCACATTCTTTAGCCATTCTTTCATATATTTAACAGATGTTGACAGAAGATCTACTATGTGCCTGGAAAACTCTGCTACGTAGACCGTGGGGGTACAATGGTCCTTGAGCACAAGGAACTTGGAGAGATGGATGAGGAAATAGACAGTGAAAAGACAGCAGTATGCGTTTTGTAGGGGGAATCAAGGAAGACATATACAAGCTCAATCCTAAAAGAGGAGAAATGATAGCCAGGCATAGAAAGAGGGAAGAATGGTCCTGACAATGCGAACAGAGCACACGGAGGTCTGGAAATTTCAAGGGGCACTAAGCAATCTCCTTCACCTGTGATTCCTCTCCTTCCTTGTGCTTCTTCACCTCCAAAATGTCACCATTCCCCCACAGCATTCCTTCTGTACTAAGGAACCTGGGTAAAGGAGCAGACCATGAAGACAACAAGCTGTTGAAAAATTGCCTCACTATTTTCTCTCTTTGGTGTTCAATTCAGCAAACAATCTATTTCATTATTCAGTATCTCAACCGTCTCTTCCAAGATATTTTCTACTAAAATAAACTAACATAAAGTAAGTTCTCTTTGCTCCTTTCTAACCAGGAAACATCAATGCTAATGTCCCCTTCCTCTGAAGGGAAAGTTGTAGGAAACTTCTCCAGTCTCCAGGCAGTAGCGGCATCTAGTGGCCACAGAAGAAAATGACCAGAGCCTCTTCGCAAGTACCACAAAATTTATCCTACACTGTGATTCCCAGACCTTGCTATGCATTGGAATTACCTAGGGGTCTTTACAAACTACTAACATCTGGCTCCCACCCTCAGAAATTCTGGTTTAATTGATACGGGATGTGATCTGGGTATTAGAAGTTTTAAAAGCTCCCCAGGTGATTCTAACGTGCAGCAAAGTTTGGGAGTCCCTGATTTAGGCATCTTTTATCAGGTTGAATCCCTCAGCAAAGAAAGCCTGCCTGTGAAGAAGTCGTTAGAGCTGGCAGATTTCTGCCCTTGTTATAGATTATTTTAAAGGCACTCAATTCTCAAGGAATATTTAGCATTGTAAACTCTTAAGGATGCATGATATCAGAAGCTTCGGTTCCTTGTATACAGAGTTTCAGCTCTTGAACTTCTTTCTTTTCAACAGAGACGCGATTTGCAACAGTCTCTTGTGGCAGTCAGATCCGAAAGTTTATATGTATGTCAGTTTGTTAAGCAGCGAATTGTTCTCCCCATATTCATAATGTGGTACTCATTATGTCATATTTAGACATCATGACAGCAATTTAGTATATTTGGTTCTTTTAGTTGCCTTATGTCGACATAATTTTCAATTACAAGCTCTTGAATGAAAGGGGGTTTGTTTTCAAGTCATAAAATGTATAGTTATTTTTATAACTTACTGTGCTAGGCATTGTGCTAGGGACTACCTGTAGGGAATACATATACTGGGTAAGACATAACCCCTATTTTTAAGGAGCTTGGAGTCAAAGTGGAGAGATAATACAGGAATCTGAGTAATTAAAACACAAGGCAAATTTTGGTATGAATTATGAGAGGCAAATGCATGGTGTTTAGAGGATCTAAAGAGCAAAGCAGGAAAGGCTTTGTTGAGAAGATGTCAGTGAGCCTTAAAGGATGAGTAGGATTTCCTTAGAGAGAAACATTTTAGACAGAGAGAGCCCTTCATCCACTTGTGTATTTATTCGTCAGATATAATGGAACCCTTGCCAAATATCAGTAGCTTTTCTGGTCACTGGAAATACAGCAGTGACCAAAAAAGACAAGATTTCCTGCTTTTATGGAGCTTCCCTCTAGTGGAAGAAGACAGACAACAAATAAGTAAGAAAATAAATAACTGGGAGATTTTCAGAGAGTGATCAATGCTGTGTGGAAAAGGGAACTAGATAACTGATTCAAGAATAAAGGAGTGGGGTTGGCAAACTGTGAGAGCTCTCCGGACAAGTGACAAGTGAGTTGCCACCTGAGTGACAAGAAGAAGCCAGCTGTGATAGAGGCCTTGGGAAGAGTATTCCAGGCTGAGAACAAGTTACAAAGGCCCAGAGAGCAGAGGCAGCTTGGAGTGGTCAAGAAACAGAGAGAGCCAGAGTGGCTGGAACGTGGTATGCAAGATGGAGAGTAGCCTGAAAAGAGGACACAGAGGAGGCGGGGGTCAGACTAGACAGCTGGTTAAGAAATATGAATTCTATTCTAACTGTAGTGGGAAGCCATGTGCCCTCCCCCAATCTCCCCCAATCCTGGGCAGTTATAGGATATGGAAGATGGCTTTAGCTAACGTGTTGTAGACTACAGTAGTAATACAGAAAGTGAAAAAATGTGCAAGGCTTGAGATGCCATTGGGAGGTAGACCAACTGGAGCTGCTGATGGAGTGATGTGAGGGGTAAGAGAAAGCATAGGATATAATGGAAGCATCCAGAGGGACATTTAAGTAGGACTAGGGAATTCTTCTGAGAGTGCTGTATTCAGAGACCTTGAAGGGTCTTAGGAAGATGTGCAAGGTGAAGAGAGAGAAGACATGGTGAGCTGAAGAAGAGAGAAAGGTCTAACTCAGACACCTCCTTATAAGCACACCAAGAAGACTGGACCTGGAACTTCACGCAATAGGAACACACACAAGGGTTGTGAGAAGTGAGCAGGAAAGTGATGTGATCATGATTTAAGTGCAGAGGGTCCCTCAGAAGCATGTGGGAGTGGGGTGTGAAACAGAGAAACCAATTTGGAAGCTGCTGCAGCAATTGAGTTAAGAGATCACATGTGCCTAAACCAGTGGTTCTTAAGCGAGAGCAATTTTGCCTCCTAGGGCACATTTGGCAATGTCTGCAGACGTTTCTGTTTGTCACAACTTGGAGGGGAGGTGCTCCTGGCTACCAGTAGTAGGTAGAGGCCAGGGATGCTGCGAAACATCCTACAATGCACAGGACAGCCCCCCCACAGCAAAGAATTGTTTGGTGCAAAATGTCTGTAGTGCCAAAGTTGAGAAACCCTGGCCTAAATGAAGTCAACAGTAATGTGCACTGAAGATAACGGGGCAGAAACAGGAGATAGAACAGAGAGGACCAGGTGATTTATCAGATGCAAGAAACCATGGTTAGGCTTTTAGGGCAAATGGGTGAGCAGCCGTGGTCTTTACCAAGAGAGAGAATTTGTGTAGAGGAACAGAGTAGGTCTGTCAGGAAGAATATGGTGAATTCAGGTTGAACACTGAATTAGGGAACTGAGTTGGAGATGCCTATGGGACCACAAAGAAGAAAGGTGGTGGGCAGTTGAATATACAAGACTTCTTTGCAAGACAGAAATCTTGGAAAGTACTTGCTTCGGATATAGGGAGGTCAGGAGAAGGCACCATGTAGGGATGAAGATGAGGTCAATCCTTAGCTGGATTTAGCGCCAATCCATGTACAGATGGATGCCTGGAAGTATTTGGGAAGCATCTGCCTCTGGGGCTGATTATTACGCTTGTAACAGAAATGTGTAAATTGTCTTTTTTGCAGGAGCGAATACAGGCCGATGAAGTGATCGCAATCCTGGATCAAGAACAGCAAGGGAAGCATGAACTGAATATCAACCCCAAAGATGAGCTATAAAGATGAGAAAGAATGTTCTATGAGATATTTATTTAAATTGTTAATCTTATGAGAACCTTTTTATTTTTGTACAGAGCCATAGTATAAATTAACAGGTTAATAGGGGTCACCAGATCTCCCTTCTCTTCCTAAGGAGGTTTGTTTTCCTTCACTCGGTCTGTCTGTCTTGGTTTTCCATGAGTTCATCTCTCAAAGCCCAGTCACCCACTCCCCATGACACACACACACACACACACACACACACACACACACAATTCATTCGCTCCAGATCCAAAAACTCAAGCAGAAAGAATAAGTCCGTTCTTGGCGAAACTATGGTTCTCACGTGTGCTCCAGTTCTAAAGTTAGTGTGTGATTTGGGCTCAGAAGGCCTTTCTGGCTCTGTGCCTTTCAGCACATCCTCTCACAGTGCTGACAGCCATGAGTTTGAATCTGAGGATCCCTTGGCAGGGTCCACAACTGCCTCACGTATCATTGGCCTGAGGGTCCCCAGGCTGAGAAGGAACTGCTCTGATGAGTTGTGCATGAGATGGAGGGACCCAGCCTTTCCAGGGCCTTGGTGGAGTTTTTGGCTCTGGTATTTTCACCAGAGAACAAACTTACACTGGAAGCTTTGATTCACCCTCCACGGTGCTCCAGAAAGGACTGCCCTATGAGTTGTGTCTTTAAAAATGTTGTATAGGTGTTGAAGGAGAAAGGCTCTTCACCCCAGTGACTTTGGAATGAAGTCTTTAATCCCACCTGAACCAGGGTACCATTACCACATTGCCTGAGAGTGGGGTCCACTGGTGAGAAGGGGCATTTTTTCTCAAGAAAAATGGATTTCTGATTGACTCCAGTGTTCATCTGCATATATTTTGGTGGCCTCTCCTCTTTGTTGCTGTCTAGCACACCGATTCCTGCTTGTGTCTGATTTTTTAAATAAAGGGAGCCTTATTTTAATATCTTGCATTTATTTTTCTTCTCTCAAATGTTTGGTTTATCTCCAGGTAATGGTTTTATAGTCCCACAGGAGCTTTGGGGACCACCAAGGGGCAATATTGGGCATGACTAGTTTTGCTGGCAGACGCTCGGGGGCCACCAAGAAGGTGGTAGCATTGCTTTTGACGAAACAGAGATGGTTAGCAAACAGAGGTGTTAATCCAGAGAGCATCTGGTCCTTGGCGCCAGTTCTAAGGAAGACATTGCAAAGACATTGTTGCGGTGAGGCTGGGGTGGTTCTAGCCTAGGGGAGCCTACTCCACTAACCAGCGGGCTCACCTGCCTCTGTGATGGGCAGTGGGAGAGGTTGTAGTGATGGGCAGTGGGAGAGGTAGTAGCCATTAAGAAAACCAGCAAATTAAAACATTTTCTAAAAATCATAGTTACTTTCTGCCCTTTTTGATCTTGCTTAGTGGTAAGAACTTTCATCCTTTGAGACTGAAAAATTGAATCATAGTGATTTATGTGCCATCTGCTTCTGGTTGCATTTTCATCATGGGAGAGTAGAAAGAGCACTAGATCAGAATCCCAGCCCTGCTGTGTGACCTGGAGCTACTCTCTTTCCCTTTCTGGGCTTCATTTACCTTCTCCAAAAATGACATAGTTGTCATTGTTTCCAAAAGCCTTCCCTCTTGCTGTAAATACAAAACAAAGCAAAAATTGATTTTAGAAATATTCACAAATATAACCAAATTTACTTCTACTAACATTTTGAGAATTGTGAATGGGTTCATTATGTGTACATGTGATTTTTAAATTTTGAACCTAATTTAGCTTTAGGGCTAAAAGTTCCTGAGCTTTGAAAAGGTCAATTGCTCTTTGTTTGCAGTCTCACTGAGAAGCGTTTGCTGGCACTCAGATCTGCTGATAGGGTGATCTGGGCGAGGATCTGATTTCTGTTTTCTGGCAACAGGCATCAACAAGGAAACTGGTCTTCGGCTCCTCGCAGGTCCTGCTTCCTGGGTGCTGTGGGCACTCGGGGAGAGGCAGGGACTTCAGCCCTGGTTCTGATGTTCAGCCCCACGGAAGGCGAGTGAAGGCCTCGATAGATATCGTTGTGTTAGATGCACATCTTGTGCCGTTGCTGACAACAGAGAGTAGTTATTCCTGCTTTGCAGGTTATCCATGTTTTATACCTGGAACATCATGTATAACACTAAAGTATTTATTTTTTAATCTGCTCCACATCAAACCTTACATAATTTCATTCAAATAGTTAGGGAGTGTCATAAGATGACTTTCAAAAAATTGAGCTCAGAAATTGCAGTCTGTGTGCTATATGCTCTCTTCTGTAGAAGGAGGGGAAAGCCTATTAGAATTTTTGTAGTTTTTGGAGCTGAAGGAGGCTCTTTCAGAGTTGAAGTTTAGAGTTTTAGAGTCGAAGGATGAATTGTGAAGGACTGATCACAATTCAATTCCGTCTTTCTGGGAGGAAACTGAGGCTCAGAGGCAGGAAAGATGATTCTACGGTTACAGAATTTGAGCAGGCAGAGCTGGGGCTGCTGAATTCAGTTATGCAAGAATGCCTGGCCAGGGGTACATGGGCACTGGAATCCCGGCACAGGGGAGCGTCCACTAGAGGAAGAGGGGCCTTTCTCTATCTGGCCAGAGATGGTACTTGCTCGCCCATCTCTGGGCCTGCACGACTGTGTCTGTCCACAAGGGGTGCCTTTTTCTAATTCACTCAAAAGTGCTGGGTGTGCTTGAGGCCGCCCGGGCTAAAAAGCCCAATGTTCGTGACTTCAAGTCTGGGACTCCTCATCTATACCACTTGTCTTGGGGACTATCCACCCTTGTGTAACAGGCCTGCAGTTTTACAAAGCTTTTATTTTCACCTGTATTATTGCATTGCATGCTTACAACACAGAGCACGTTCACACACTAGGAACCCCAGGACGTATTCTAGGCACGGCTTATGATGCCCAATTTGCAGATGAGGAAATGGAGAGCAGTGAAGGGAGGTGAGAGCCTGTGGTCACTGAGCTCGGAGTGTCATGTCTGAGGTAGAAGCAGAGTCTTTTGAACAGGAGAGGAGTAAGAAGCGCTGGGGTCGTTTGCTCCCTCGGCCGTGCTTCTGGGGATATTAAATATAAAATAATACATTAATGTGAAGAAAAAAGCTAGATTTTTATAAAATCTAAACCTTTTCTCCTATTTTTCTGCTGAATGATGTGTGAAGGCATATTTCCCCTTCTCCCTTCTGAGGTATACTGAATATAGGTTGCATAATTCAATGAAGTCAGCCCCATTTTTGGGCAAACACTGTGTGCAGGCACTGCTTTCATGAAGCTCACAAAAGGGAAGAAGGTTCTAGTCAGATGTCATTTTCCTCTCCCTCTGAGGTAGAATCTTGAGAAAACACCGACACAGGACAGAGTGATATTCTTGGATGTGTGAGGTACTTTCTTCAGAGCACTGAATGCAAATTATTTGACAAAGCAATTTTAGTTTTAATGTATTCTTCATCATTACTGCGTCCATAGCAATTTTTGGCACTTCTTCAGCTGAGGAGAAGCCATGGAATGAGTCAGTACCATTTAATAATATATACCTATGAATTTTCATTGAAGGACAAATGCTGAATTATTTCACGTAAGACAGCCACAGGGAACCACTCCCTCACTGACATCAAGAGAGGAGGTAATGGGGGCCCCTCACAGTTCCTTATGCCAAAGAATTAAACATTCTGAGGTGACTGACAATGGTATGGCTGAGAAGTGGGAAAAAGTTTAATTGTTCCCACATCCAGAACTCTTCGGGGAAACAGGAGACTTTTGGGAAAAAACTACAAACCACAAGTTAGACTGGGCCCAGGGTTACAATCCCTCTCTACCTCCTGCCAAGAAGCCTGTGATGTGATGCGACCTCCCCACCTAGTCCCACAACCCACCCACAAATCCTCTACTCACAGATAATTTGATGTTTCCAGCGTAAGACATAGGGCCCGTTTTGTTTGGGACCTGGTTGATTTCTTCAGACACATTGAGACAAGTAGCATCAACCCCTCTCTGAGCTCACTGCTGGGTTGGACCTGCAGCCTCATGCTGTCAGAGCTTCCGCCTCCCCGCCTCCCCGCAGTACATCACGATGTATTCTGTGCCCGCTGCTGACCTCTGAGGCCAGATGACGTCAAGTCTGGAACAATCTGATCATGGATCCTGGCTTGCTCTACAATGGATGGCAACAGCCGTGTGAAAAGTTGGCTTAGCGAATCACCTCTGCCTTCAAAGTTCTTGTTAAGGACCCACAAGGAAAATAACCAAACAAAATGTTCCTGCCCTCTCTTCCTGACACACATTGGTAGGGAGGAAAATCTGAATGCTCCATTCATTCAATAGACAACACACTTTTTCTGGCCCCTTTATATGATACACCTAGGGGGAGGGGGAAGAAAAGATGAACAAGATAAGCCTTGCCCTCCCTTTCCTTGGTAGGCCACCACAGAGGAGGTCGAGGATAGAGCAGAGTTTCACAACCTTTCCACCTTAACAGTCCTTCTCCTAGGTCATCTGCTCTGGAAGGGCCAACCATCTCCCTTCTTCACCTGAGTCTCCACTTCAACGGTGAATTGGGGGTCATCCATCTATCTGGGACTCTTGCCCTTGGCCCCTCTTGTCAGGTTTATGTGCCTTCCCTCTTGATGGCAGTGTGATGGCATAGGCCCTGGAAATCCTATCTAGACCCTAGTTAAACCCTCTTACCTCTTCCCACTTGATGTTTTTACCTCTGAATTACTATCTGATGGTGGGTGGGGATAGAAATGGGGAGCAGGCAAGAAGCATTACATGCTGTGTCTCATCTTTTTCTACTTGTAAATCATATATCCCATTGTTTCAAAGGGTTATAATCATGGTTGGCATTTATAAAGCTTTTTTATGGTTGAAGCACTTGGCAGTCATACGTAACTACACAATTATCCTGAGAGACACATCAGTGCAGTCTTCATTTTGTAAACAGGGAAAATGAACAGTTATGGGGAAGGTGGTATAGTGAAGATCTGGTCATTCATGAATTTATAACTCAGACAGTTTTTGGGTGGCTACTCAGTGGTGAGTTTAGGGAGTTATTCAAAAATGAATAAGATTTCAACCCCTCCTTTAAGGAATTCAAAGTAAAGTAGAAAAATAGATGTAAACAAGTGAAAAATATAAAATGAGTTTAGTGCAGTGACAGAAGAATTATGATAGAGGCAGGTATAAAAAGGGCCATGTGAATTCAGAGAAGGGAGCAGTTGGGGATGGGGAGGGCTTTACAGAGAAGGAGGCAGTTAAGCTGAGTCTTTAATGCCTGTTCTGCCACCAAAAAGCAGAAATGAGCCAAGTGACCTTTCATTTCACCATAGCGTTCTCAACTGAAAAAGTATTGAATTTGAATGGATGATTTCTTGGGTTCTAAAACATGAAGCTTTCAGAAAGGTTGTGAGAGTTCATATTAAAGTTGGTGTTTTAGAGGTGGGGTAGAATGGGATCTCTACTGCAGATTGCCCTGGGAAAGCACTTTAAGGAGTGCTGTGAAAATCCAAGTAAATACCGGTTTAAAAGGAAGTTTTATTTTATTCCCTTGTAAGGAGGTATATTTAAGTGGGTGGAGTGAAGCCATCAAGGACCATGCTTCTTACAGAGAAGCAGAGGAGCCGTTGGTGCCAGAGAAAGCTGAGATGAACCCCATCATTCAGACTCAAGTCAAGGAGCTCTCCCCGGGTATTTCTCTCTGCCTGTGAGTCCAAGAAACTGTTTATCCCATATGCACTGGAGCTGGCCTATTCACTCAAATCCTTACATTTTCGTCTCAGAAATGGGAATAATGAGAACATTCCAGCCCACCTGAGGATATTGAGGTGTATTGTCTGAAAAGCCTAAGGCATTTGGTAAAATCAGTCAAGCTTTTAGTAAAATCAGAAAGCTATATTATGCTGTGGTAAGGACATTTCTTGCAATATCAAACAGGGAA